CAGCCATGCTGGCTGGGGAATTCTGGGAGTTGAAGTCCACACATCTCAGAGTTGCCAAGTTCAAAAAACACTGCTTTAAGCACTCTTCAAGGGTAGCCATACACAGAGGGCATTGCAGCAGTCTAGTTGTAACCCATCCTCAGCACAGAACGCTGCTCCCAGCTCTGACTGGCTCAACAACCGTCACAACTGAGAACTAAATGCAGCAGCCTTAATGCAAACAACTGCGCGACTCACTTCTCCTGCCCCGAGGAAGAGGATCCGGTGTTCGGTGAGGGGCTTTCCAATCACCTTCTGCGCTGCCAATAATCCAGCCAAAGCAACCGCCGCCGTCCCTAAGAAAAGACACGCATTTCTCAGGGGCTAAAAAGGCGCCCGTCGAAACGCAAGGAAAACAGAGCCCAGATGGGTTCGTGGGGAGACGCCAGAAGCCCAGGGCTGATTGCTCACCTTGTATGTCATCATTGAAAGTGCAGTATTTTTCTCGGTATTTCCTCAAAAAGCGGAAGGCGTTATGGTTGCCAAAGTCTTCGAACTGAATGAGGGTGGTCTGGCCATACCTGGAAGACACAGGGAGAAATATTAAATGAACAGCAACGCCTTCTAGTTGTTCTACATTTTGCACCCTGTACATTTACCTCTCCAATTTAAGTGGCCTAGGCCAACATGGCACCAAAATGGATATTTGGACATTATTCTGATACAATGCAAACTTGAAAGGAGCAGCCTTCATCTTTAGATCTCTAGGACTTAAGGTCCTCTTGGATTTTTCCTTTCTTTGCCCACAGCTTCTACCTCCTCGTTCTAGGCCACTGATGGTGAACCTATGACACATATGTCACAGGTGACACACCAGCGTTCACCAACACCCAACAACTGTTCTGTTTGAGTTACCAAAGAAACTGAGTTTGTTCTGCTGTATTTCATTTTTGTAATTATCTGATGTTTCTTTATATAATACATAGCATCACACATGACTGGGCTGTATTTTTTTTTTAATAAATGAGTATGCAAAGAATTGTTTCTCTTTTGTTCGGGGGGGAGGGGGTGACCCGCCAGCAGAGTCAAGTTAGGCATTTTCCAAATTTTTGACACGCCGAGCCCAAAAGGTTCACCATCACTGTCCTAGGCCAAGCAGCGGGCCACCAGCAGCCTTCAGGTCCCCATTGCAGCACTTCCCTGATGGCACAGCATCCAGCTGTTTTGAGATGAGAAACACATGAAACAGCTGTACAGCAAGCTATGATGTAGACCAGGATCAGAGAAAATCCCTCGGCTCCCTGAAAACTCGTGGGGACCTTTGCTCAGTCTTCAGTCCCCACGTTGTTTTTCTATCATTTAAGATAAGAACCCAATTTTCTCACATTTCTTCTAACATCTAGGATTTTTTAAATCTTTATGAGCCTTACCAACAGACCTAATGTGCCCAATAGCTTGTTTACTATTCACGCAGGATAGTTTTAGGCACGTGATGTGTTTATACTACAAAGATCAGAACCGTGCACACCATGGTATTTTCTGTGACACTATACAGAAGTGAAAGTTGGACTTTGAAGCAGCAGCATAGGAAGAGTATTGAGGTCTCTGAACTTTGGAGAAGTTGGAGAAGACTCCTGAGTATACCATGGTCAGCCAAGAAAACAAACTGATGGATCACTGAACAAATCAACCCAAAGTTCTCACTCAAGGCATAAATGGCCAGGCTGAAATTATCCTACTTTGGACACGTGATGTGAAGACCCAGCTCTCTGGAGAAGGCTCTGATGCTGGGAAAGGTGGAAGGAAAGAGAAGACAATGACCAGCAGCAAGGTTCGTGGATACACGATTGGAAGATTTTTATCGTTGTTTCTTTTTTTAACTACACTCATTTGGCTTTAGGGCATGCCTTGCAGTTTTCCTATTTCGGAAGGTCAGGATGCCACACTGCTCATTTTTAGGGAATTCCACTGCTAAATTTCAACTGCGTAGTTAGGAAACCCTCCATGGCCCACAAAAGGACAGTCTGTGACCATATTCATCTCTTGGGATGCCAGCTGCCAACATCATCTTTGTTAAACAGATACTCTTTGATCCCTCAAAGTCTTCTTGAATATACAGGAAAGGTTGGTTGCTGACATGTGCAGGGTCTTTCCATGCTTGGAGTGGAATAAGGGAGAGAAAAGTGATTTGGGGTTTATACCTGCCTACAATGGCTTCCATGAATTCATCAATTAACTCATCATAAAGCAGTGAGCGGTCTCGTTTCTGATACAGTCCCATATAAAATGGATCTTGCAAAAGTGTCTAGGAAAATGGGAAAACAAAGTAAAGTCACTATTAGTCTCTGACACTGAGTCAAATATATTCTGCCACTCCCAGGGAAGATGGATACAGGTAGTCCTCGACTTATGATTATTCGTTAACGACCGTACAAAGTTACAATGGTGCTGGAAAAAGTGACTTACAACTGGTCCTTGCATTTACGACCATTGCAGCATCCCTGTGGCCACATGATCAGAATTGAGGTGCTTGGCAACCAGCATGTATTTACAACGGTTGCAGCGTCCTGAGGTCACATAATTGCCATTTGCAACCTTCCCAGGGAACTTCCGACAAACAAAGTCAATGGGGAAAGCCAGACTCACTTAACAACCACAGCAAAAAAGGTCATAAAATTGGGCACAACTCACTTAATGACCACATCACTTAGCGACAGCAGTTCCTGTCCCAATTGTGGTCGTAAGTCAAAGACTACCTGCAGGACATACTGAGAATCCTTTCATTGTAGTGGAATTTTAAGCACTTAGTAATCTATTAAAAATATTCTACAAATGCTGCAAGGGAAGGGTGCAAAGAAATTTGCATTTTAGAGGGAGGTACTGAGAATGTGTTCACTAAGATCATGTCAACATTTTACAATTCTGGCCAAGGCTCCAGTGGACTTGTTTGGATCAGATGTTCTGGGTGAGAGAACCAAAAGAGCACTAAGAAACTCTTCCCTACCTCTGTTTCCTACTGGGTCCTCCTTGGCAGGACAAACACAATGGCCAAAGAATATCAATATCCTAGTAGCAAGAGGTGGAGGACATCTAGCCTAACCCCTGCTCGGGAACATCTCACCCCACCAATGAACACCACAGACAAGCAGCTGGTATCTGACGGGTGTAGAACATGTAATAACTTACCTGATTGTCCGTTCCAACATCAATACATACAGGAAGGCACTTATCAGGTCGTATTCCAGCACAGGCTGTGTATAAACAGAGCTTGCCAACTGGGATTCCCATTCCATATACTCCCAGATCCCCAAGGCCCAAGATGCGTTCTCCATCTGTGACGACAACAGCCTTGAAGGACAAAAGTGGATATGGAACTGCATCAGATCACATGAAGAAGGAAGGAAGGAACCCCCTCCCTTACTAGCTTTATGGTCTTTTTTGCTTTTATAACTACCAAGACTCAATTATATTTAGGCTGAAGAACTAATTAGGTTGGATCACATCTCACCCTGCTCTGTGACCACCTCACCCACAATAAGCCTGGTCAGCCCTTCAAGGTAGACCAGATTTGAGCAAGTCATGATACTAAAACTACTTTTATTATAGAGTTATAACAACAGAATCTTGCAACTCTGAATGTGTCTTCCCCCTCCCTGTGTTTATCCTATAGAGAACTAGGAAGGGAGGTCAAATCTGAAACGCTTTCTCAAATTACATTCCTGCTTTGGACTCAGATTTCTCTTATCTGACGAAAGCCTTGGCTGCGGTTCTTCCCCCTCTTCCTCAAGGAGATCCTCCCAGCCCATTACACAGAGTGAGTGCCTTCCCTAGGACACTGCCTCTGGCATGGGGAATCTTCTGCGTAATGGAGCAAAGCCTACATCCAGAACGTCTTGTGATTCTTATTGGCGATCATCACTGTACAAACATTGCTTTTGGCAGTGAACCTGTTGCCCTCACAAGGTACAAAGCAACCATTCATCTTCATTTTTGGAGATCTTGGACTGAATTCTTGAAGAGACCCTGACGTCAGATTACCCCAGCTTTCTCCAACCTGATGCCCTCTAAATATGTTGGAATCACAGCAACCCAAATTGCTAGCTATTAGCCAGGAAATATGGGAATTCTGTGAATTTCTAACCCAATGCACCCGGGGGACATTAGTTTGAGGAAGGCTGGAACAGGCAGTTCCAAGCTAAATGTCTTATGGCCTGATTCAAGGAAAGCTTCATATGCTCACACAGTTGCCATACAGTTCCAATGCATACTGCATTACCTACCCTGGGGGTGGACAGCCTTTTCTATCTCACATTTCTCAAAGAACGTGGGGGCTACCATGACAGACACACAGGCCTGCTTCCCCCTGCAAAATTAATGTATATGTTTAAGGGCATTTTGTTGTGGTCATCATTAGTGATTATTTTTGTTAGATCTATATCTCACTTTCCATTCAGGAGCTTAAGAAAGCATACATAGCACTCCCTCCTTGTGGCTCCCCCCCCCCATAACAAGCCTGTGAGTTAAGCTGGGCTGAGAGACCGTGAATGACCCAAAGTCACCTAGTGGGTGAGGGAGGAGGACATGGCTGAAGGACTAGAATTAGGTCTTTCCACTCTTAATCAACATTTTAACCACTATATTATACTGTCACTCATGCCTCTTCGGGAAAAGTTTAAAGAGTTCATAAAAGTTTCACTGACTTCCCCTGTATCCCATGTGACTCTTTCTGAATCCAGCTATGATGCGCATGCAAAATGTTTCAAATTTCAAAAACTCTGAACTCGAAATAGTCTGATTCCACTTTGAACTTTACGGAAACGTTCTGACCATGTTCTGATTATTCCAAAGCATGAAATGGGCCCGCTTGAAGCTCTAAAGTTCATCTTCTCTGAATCCACAACGGGACTGTGACAAGCTCAAAGCATTTCCAGAATGGTTGGGACACCACCAAAACATGTCTGGACATCTAGTTCACGGTTTCAAATTTGAAATATTTTGCACATCTCTAATGAGTATCACTTGAGAACCACCGATCCAAGCTTGCATGTTTGATAGTCAATAGATGTTATGCCCTTTCATCAGAGAATCCTGAGATTAATAGTTCAGGGAGAGAGGGCGAAACACCTAGAGATGTGCAGCACTCTAACCAAACTACAAATCCCAGAAAGAACGTGTGAAAAGGGAAAAATGGGCAGGAGAGAACTGCTATAAAGCCATCAGAGGCTCTGGGTTGGCAGATGTTCTCTTCAGCTTTGACAATCTTGGACTTACTCCATCTTTTTCCTAGACATACAAGCTTCTCTCATTTTAGAAGAGAGATTTTCTGCAATGAGCTCAGTCAGTCATATCCTCAATTTTCTCTCCTCCTGTCTCCTACAAAGAGAGACCCGCACACTTTTTTTTTTTTAAGTTAAGCTTGAAGAGTTGCAATGGCGACACAATGGCCTTACCAGGGGGGGCAGGGCTGAAATGTTCAGCCTGTTTTTTCCAAGATTGAAGATACTTAAAAGAGTTAGAACATGCTTAATACAGGCTTTTTAAAATTGTGGCCCTAAAAGTGGCAGTTCGTTACTTGATATCTGCTGTGTGACCCAAGGGGCATGAAACACTGCAAGCAATGGGTTGCTCAGCTGTAGTTCCCTGAATAAACCATCATCATAGTAAATCATAATGGCTAGGTCAGTGCAACAAGCCACAATCAACAAACTACAACTCAACTTGGTATAATGTGTGAAGTTGTAACCTGCATGAACCCAGAAAATACAATGGAAAGAAGAAATGTTATGCTTCCCATTCACCACTGATAACAGCATGCAAGAAAAGTTAGATCCCAAATTTTAGGCAGCTTTGGTATTTATCCAGAGAGATGTCATAAAATCATTACAATCCATATTTGGGAGGTCTCCACCTTCATGCTAGGACACCCACAAGTGCAGCAGTTGCACACAAAGCTCACAAAGGATTCATAGTTTAGCTTGCAAGCATACCCCCTATCTATTTGTTAGCTGCTCTCAAGGAAGTCTATCTGGTACTATGGAAAATCCACATGGAAGAAGAAAACACAATATACAGTCAGTACCTTCACATCATTTTCCGGCCAGTTGTTCACAATAGATCGGATATGGCCCCTATCTGTTATGGCAATGAATAAGCCTCTGCAAAAAAGTCAAGACAGAAATACTCTCACCACCAATTAATTTAAGTCGCTTTTGTGTTTGTAAGAGTCAGCCTGGTATAGTAAACGTTCTCCTTAATTATTTCAAAAAGTTAAACACAATGCCTTTAAAGAAAGAGTGAAACTAAGATAGCACTTGAGAAATATGTCACTGTTAAAAGGTTTACAGAATTTGAAAATACAAAATTAATCTGATCTTAACATTCACATCAACTGCATTTTGTCATGTAAAATGAAGCAGAAAAAAAACATCCCTGAACAAATACAATTCAGGAAGGAAAGGAAGATTCAAAATACTTGAGTGAATGTTCTCTTTTTCCCATTATTCTCTATGACTAGAAACAGCAGTACAAAATTCCAGGATAGAGATTTTTTGTTAATATAAGGGAAAAAAACATCTTTATCACCCTTCCACAACTTGGTCCAACTCAACTAGAGAGCTCCAAACAGGGAAAGTATTATCTAGATTGTATCATAATATCAATCCATTTTATTTATTTCATTAGATTTAGACGCCACCCAATTCCAAGGTGACTTGGGTTATCTACATTGTGGCACTGATGCTTTGAATGGATTTACTCAACTAGCCTAATCATATACAAGGTTTATCAGCATTGAAGCTGCTCAAAAAAATTGAAAAAATTATGATATTTATAGTCTAGCTTCTTTAGGAAAGTCAAAATTGTCAGCTGGACTCAGCTTTAAAAAACAAAGCAAAAAACCCCCCTTCACTTTGGCTCCTACAAATAAGAAGAGCTTTTGGGAGAACGGCCAGGAAATGAACATTTATTCCAGGAAGTGAAAGGACGGTGAAGAAAAACACAAATAATTTTATTTAGAATGTTTGTACAGCCCTTCTCAAGTTAACAACTCCCAGGGTGGTAGAGAATTGAAAATGGACTCTAAAGCAGAAACAGAAAGTGTGGGAGGAGGAAGAAGAGATGAAGAACATGGCAATGAGACAAGGAGGAGCTAAATTTTTAATGTGAATTGACAGAAAATGAGCTCATTCTTTGATGATGAGCTTTTGGCTTCTTTACCTACCGCCAGCAGAAATAGTGCTTAAGGAGAACAGTAGATCTGCTTTTGAGTTGCCAGAATGAAAGAGCAGAAACCTAAGCAACAATTAAATAAATAAATTATAAGGGCGTCCTTACTTTGGCCGTCTAAAAATATGCCCATACTGGGAACACGCAAGGCCTACTGTTGGGGTATAGACAATCGGCATTAATTGTTCGATATCATCTTGTAGAATCCTGTAGAACAGCTTCTCGTTTCTTTCCTGGATTCCCATCACATAGATGTATCTGCGCAGAAAGAAGCGGAGAAACACCATGAAGTTTGTGTGCCTGTAGTTACATATTTACAATGTATTTAGAAAGCCTTTCCTTTTGGGGCTACAAACCTTCCCCAGGCAGAAAAAACATATTTATTCAGTGATAAATATCAAAATTAATAAAACGCATGGATAAGGCATATTGTCCCCAACACTAAAATCCAGAATCCATTACAATTCAATTAAAAATACTGTTAGAGAAGGAAGTGCTATGCTATGTATCCCCATCCTGAGCTTCTGGAAAAAAGGCAAGTTGTAAATTTAATGGATAAACAATGAAATAGAATATAAAGGAGGATTTAGGACTCATGTTTTGGACATCAGGACCCATCAGCTTCATATGCAATGCTAAAGACAAGGAACCACTGGAGTTGTAGTCCAAATCCTAGGGAGGGTTAGGTCTCCTATGAATTAGGGCTGTCCAAAGAATAGAGACGGGAATCATTTTGTACTGAAGATCCCTCTGAAGGAGAACAATAAGCAGGAAGAGGCAATGAATGAAGAGAGGAAAAAAACCTGGAAGATTTTTTATTGTTGTCCCAACACATTTTGGAATTATTCCTTTATTAAAGGCACTCTAAGAACACAATTTATATACTGAAAGGAATGCAGTATCTTGCTCAACATGTTATGTGTTCGTGTATATGACATTTGTGTAAAAGGTAAAGGCTAACAGTGTCATACTGTTTATTTATGCAAATTTGTTGAGCACATGAAAATAACATGTAAATGCATAATGTGCTAAGCAAGGTGATGCAGTCTTTCTTATGAACATTTTTAGAGCATCCTTAATAAAGGAATAATTCCAAAACATCCACAATCATGAAATATTTTTGATTGGCATCCAGGAATCCTTCTCTTTTTATTTTTACCCTGAAGGAAAATATCAAGGGGAAACTAACCTTCTCCCAAGCTGCCTCTGTGCCACTCAAACTACAAATTACACTCAGCAAAATATTCTCCAATGTTTTCTAATCAATAGCAACTTCGGTTTCAACAGAGGAACAATGAGGTGAGAGATGGATTGTCTTTTTTTTTTTTTCTCTCCTTCCTATCGTTTTTCTGAGAGCCAGTCTAGAAACTGGGAGACCAGGAGTTCTGGTCCTGCCTTAGGCACGAAGCCAGCTGGGTGACCTTGGGCCAGCCCCTCTCTCTCAGCCCCAGGAAGGAGGCGGCCAGGGGAAACCACTTCCAAAAGAACTTGCCAAGAAAACTCCAGGGACTTGTCCAAGCAGTCGCCAGGAGTCAAGACTACTCGAAAGCATACACAAACACATCATTTCATTACTTAAAATCTGTATTATTTATTACAACGATTTCTATCCTGTCTCTTGATACAAATGCTACCAAAACAGTTTCCAAGCAATGTCAACAGTCATAAACAGAGGTAAGAAATATTAAAGCAAAAAGAATAACTTCTGGGACTCTTTTCAGATTACAGTGGTGTGTGTATCTAAGTGAGACAGACATTTATGATGCTCTTTGTCTGCCTTCGTCCTCCTATCCATACACCCCTAAACCTATTAACACACCTTAAGAAACCCATATACCCACTTGTATTATTTTTCCCAATGGAACAAAAAAAAGTATGGCAAGGAGTTAGATCAGGAGCCCCCCAAATTTGGGAATTTTAAGAGCAGGCTATTGGCAATCTCACAAAATGGTGGCCAGGACGGCAAGGCCTTTAACAAAATAACCATTTATCAGGACATGAAGTGGTAAGGCTGCCCCCAGCCTTCTCAGCAGATTTACCAGATCCTCTCTATTTCCTCAGCTTATTTCTGTCTCTTTTTCTGGGGAGAGAGCCCTACTTTGAAAAACAGTATTAGCTTTCTGCCTCCTGTCACTTACTAAAGATGTGGACTGGGATATGCACAAGACCCAGAAGCATTCATGGAAATAGCAATTCATGGAAATAAATACTATGCCAAAAGCCGGCCTCCTACTTTAAATATTTGTTTGTTTGTAAAAGATTCTAAGCAACGTCTGGTAGAACATGGCAAGCACCAGCGAATGTTCCATAGGAACACAGGAACCCAGACATTTTAAAGGTGGGACCCAGGGTTTAGAACCTGAGCAAGAAAATGAACAAAATGGGAAGATTAAGCAACCCCCTTTTCCCTACCCCACTCCAATGAATCATGCAACCTTTAAGTCCTCTGCCTGTTAAAGAAGGAGAAGCAAAGTATGGTCCTCTGGGGCTGCAATTCCTACTGGACATGCAAGAAGAGCTTATGGGAACTGGAGCTGAACAAGATGTAGAGACTCATAGGTCTTCTATCCTTAAATTCCTGAGCCAATCAAAGCTGGGGACTGATTCACATCTTGCAGTATACTCTACATGGGGCCACCCTTGAAAAGTGCGCCCAGGTTATGAAAGGCAACTTCCTTGGCAGTTGCATTTGATCTCCACTGACAGTTAGGAAATCTGTAAAGACCCATCGCTTTTGCCAAGCTATGGATTGCTAATCCATTTTACTACTTGTTTCAATTTATGGTTTAACTTTTCAGATTTCTTAAAACAGGGTTGTTAGCAATCTTGAATATTTGCTTGAGCAGAAAGATGGGGTAGAAACCAAGGAAACAATCCAAATGAACTTAAGATCCAACAGAAAAGAACTCTGTGTGTGTGTGTGTGTGTGTGTGTGTGTGTGTGTGACAATGCCTGATGTCATTTTTGGCTTCCTGAAGAGGAGACTGTAGAATCTGGGAGAACAAATGTGAAGTAAGCAATCTTGCCACTGGCTATGCTATGATGGGTGAAGATCCCAGCTTGCTGGACTGAAGGTTGGAGAAGACAGGAAAATGAAAGCCGTTGTGGAAAATAAAACAGGCGACAAGAGCTATTTTTAAAACAGAATGCACATTCTAATCAACGTTGGTTTCAGATTCCATATTCAGCATTACAGGTATGCCAGCTGCAAACGTTAGTTCTTGTGCAGTTAATAGGTGGTTGTGAAAATGACCTTAGACTACAGCCAAAATGCTGTGCATACTTATTCAGAAATAAACCTCCTGAACCTCAATTTACTCCCTAGAAAAACACACCCTGGATTAGGCTGCAGAAATCTTCATATCAGGGGAAAAATGAATGCAACTCTGATTAGTCAACATTTGTACGATGGGTACAGCTCTCTTGATAAGAAGTATTCTTTCAAGCAGCGTGTCACTTTAGGGTCAATTAACCAGCTTTCTGTTATTGCTTCCAGGAGGATTATATATTAACGCTCAAGTCATAAAGTATGCTTCCAGTTGGATGGGGAAGAGAAAAAGAATGCTAAAAGAGAAGGTTCCTGTGACTTAAAAAGGCACTATACAACACAGATGGATAATACGTGTGCAGGCACAGATACACGCTTTTACATATACAGACTTTCAAAGTCCAGGGAAGCGTGTCATGGCTTCACCAGAGGGGCAGGACTTAAATTTTCAGCCATACTGAGGGGTAATTCTGGAATTTCACTCAGAATAGATGAACGAAACCTAACCCAGGGTGAACACACCTATCTGGAGGCAGAAGTCATTTTAAAAATGCCAGTAAAAATCAAACTGCCTTTGAATTTTGGTAGGGTTATCTCAAAGGACTCTGGGGAAGTTGCAAATACAGGATTGGGGTGCTGGAGGTTGCCTACTGACCTGGCCCTATTTGCATTAAAACTAGCAACAAAATGCAAATCTTGAAAAATGGCAAAGAAGGGAAGAGATGGCTTGCAAAAGGTAAGACATGGAGATAATGTTTGAATGCATTTGGCCCCTTTTGAAGGACAATTCCACCAACCAGCTTTTTCCCCCCCCAGTGTATCTGGGTCATCTTGCAACTGCTCTCCTCTAAATCATAATTGGAATCCAATCGCAGCAAGGCACAGAGAATCAGCTCCAAAAGAGTAAGACTCCTCCAACACGTTCTTACTTCTCTAAGGGATCCGTCATTTTGGCTATGTTCTTATGGAAACGTAAAGCTTGGATGTCCTGCGTCTCAAACTTTGGAGGTAAGAGTCCTTGAAGCCCCAGCATCTGTCGTTCTTTTAAGGTAAAAGCCATACCCTGAATAGAGACAGCAAGAGGAAAAGATACAATTAGTCCCAATTCCAGGTTTGGTGAAGTCCTTAAGCCAAACGTAATGGGACTCTACCTGCCCTTCATCAGATATATGATTCCTTCCTTTGCCCTTAATCTAGGACCAACACTCCCTCTTTTTTCCTTCTTTCACATTATTTAATGCAGCTCATTTTCCCCCTATTTCAGAGTTTAACACAATTAACACTAAATCTGGTTATATGAGCTAGAAACAGGTGCCACTTTTAATAAAAATGTAATAGGTTTTCAAGCGCTAGCCACGGATTTTTTTTTTTTTAATCCGCACTCAATCGTGACCAATTCTGCGGCGACTGCCTGGACGAATCCCTGCAGTTTTCAAGGCAAGGTGTTTCGGAAGTGGTTTGCCAGGGCCTCCCTCCTAGAGCAGAGCCCAGCTGGTGAGCACAGGAGGCGGGGTTTCCGTTGCTTTGCGCCTTTTTCGGGCGTGCGCGGCTTCCGTGTTACTGGCAACTGCTCCTGTCTCCCGTGCAAGCACCGCCAGCATTTTTCCTCCCACCGGGGTGAGAGTCCCCATTTATCTACTGACATAA